AATGTACCAAATTGACATATTCTCACTGGCAGCATCATTGCCACATACTGCCATGCTATGGTTTTGACAGTCTACAAGAAGTGGAGGAATGATTGCACTTAACTAAGTGATGTACATGCAAACAAACTAAGAAACATAACCCGCTTTCATGAAGATCAACCAAAACCTTTTTATTATAATTGACAGTGAGGTTAGAGAATCACACATTTTTCTTCCAAGCGTTTTGTCATTAAGAAAACTTTACAATTGTAGGTTTCAAATGTCTCCTCTCACAGCCTAATAAAGGAAACATTATGGACATTATGGACATTGGTTCCTATGAGGCAGCTTCCTACATTCTTAGTATGTGAGCCCCCAAGTGCAGAGCAGCACATCTACCACGAATGGCAGCTACCTGAGTTTTGATCAACATCTTATTTACATTTTTAGTCTGGGACATTAAAACAGCAGGAGTGAGATCAAGCTGGGTTGGCCATACAATGTGCCTGATAGGCTGTATTTGGCTAGGAAAGGGTCAGAAGTTAAGCCAGCCCAGATTAGAGAAATGTGCCTACAATGGTGCACAGTGGCATTCTCTGCAGGGTGCTCCACGTCTGACATTTTTCTTTCAGGCAACCATCTCTAAGTGGGGAAGAAGGAATGTACATGATCACTTCAGAAGTAAACTGTGCATGTGCATAATCAGGAGAACTCTGGAAAGGCTCAGTAGGATCTGTGGCTACAGGTTGTCCTCCCATGACAAAGTCCCATTAACAACCTTGAAGAAAATAGCATGTCATTAATATGAGATGGAGCATATAATTATTTGTGAACTGTGAAAAAAATAAGATATGGAAACATGAAGTTGCTTTTTGTACTTTCTCTCCATCATGTTACATTGAGATGGATTAATCTTTTTTTCTGAATATTTGAGTTCTATGCTCAATGTGAGTGGAGAAGGAAGATAGCTGTTTGGGACTAGAGGCTATTCTGGGGACCAGATGAGGACACTTTGAGAGGTGGGTAAGTCTAAAGATGTCCACTTGCCTACTCATAAAACATTATCTCAAAGTTGTGAAGTAACAGACCATCCATCTATTTTCTCCGTAATACTACTTAGGTAGGTTTTTTTTCCTTGATGTTGAGGGCACAGCTGATGGAACCCTATACCACAACTTAAACCATTTAGCGAGTTCCCCTGGCTCCTCTATGTAGCACTGTCTATGGGACTGGAAAGGGGACAGGAAGTCGCTCTCCCCTCTCCAGTTCCACTGAAATTTAGTTACATGGACCAAAATTTGGATCCAGCTAAGGAGTATGCTTGCTATAACCCAAAGGAAGCTTCTGCCACTGCCAATGTGCAGCTGTGTTCAGACTTTGAGACAGATGCTTTGAAAATAGGTCCTGATTTCAACACTGAGCGATGTAACATGAGACTTGATTGGTCAAGGATGTTACTGGCCAGGCATCTCTTGGACATAGGCGTACGAGGTTAAGAACAGTTTTGGTGTTCAGCAGACATTGGTACCATGGCGGAAATTAGAAAAAAAATGTGAACAATAGGTTGAATACCTGGGACAAATGGTATACAGGAGAGAAAAGGTTGCAATGCTCCTTTTGTTAATGTTTTCAACCTTTGATATCGCTTTGAGGGGAGAGACTGTAAGTCAATGATAGGGTATCTTCTTTGCATGTAGAAGATCACACTGGGAGCACCCACAGTAGAGAAAATACTGGACTAGATGAACTCATGGTCTGACTCAGTATGAATTACAGTGGGCAGAAAGTCATTCCCCAGATGTTTTCCACATCTACTTGCAGTATTTCTGAGCAATGGCCATGCTGGCAGGACCAGAGCTTCCAGAAATTTTGCTTCTGGACATCTACCTCCTGCTCCACCTTGGTATAAAGTAGTTTCATATGCTCCTTCCAGTCTAAATATATTACAACCACACTTACCATCAGGCTGTGAAAAACTTCTGTCAAGAAATTCCTATGGTGTAGTCCAGCAAGGGAATCCAAGATCACCAATACATATCCTTTTGAAGAAGGATATGGACCAACACAGCTGCCTGAATCTCCAGACTCTTTTTGGGGATGTGGCATTGAGACTGTCATGATGAGTGACTGCTGTTCAAAATTTGTAGCTACACCATAGTCTCAGACTGTTTGGGGAGTGCAACTAGACCTGTACCAGGACCAAGTTATCTGCTTGAACAAAATCGGTGCACTGATCATAAAATTATAAACAGATATCTCTATTTTACAATAAAAGAGTTTTATTTCTATGATCCAGCCACCAACATTGGTTTTGCTTCCACAGTATTAGCTATAAATCTAGTTTTATTATTACTTTTTGATATAATATCTAGACACTTGCTGAAACCAAGACATAAGCTTTCTGCCAGCTTTGGAGTTTTGTCATAAGAGTAAATTAGTTTGATACAGTTTCATATTCTCTTCCCACCTTTTGTCAGGAGAAGGAATATTTCTTAGCCTCTGTTCTACCTTTGCTACAGTCTGTCACCTGAATGATTTATCACCAAATTTTAATGCTCCTATATTGAGCATTTTTATTCTCATTATATTCTCACCCTTCTTTCTCCCCCACCTTAATCTACTGAGAAAAATTATAATAATAAAGAGGAAAATGGCAGGACATTTATCCATTCCCTTGACACCCTTGAGACAGGAGCCTGGACAGGAATTATATAAAACTGTAAAATGAAATTATACTGAAGCTAGCGATGATGCAAGAATGTAAGTTAAAACCAGTTAATTTTTTTAAAAGACTTTGTCAAATGTGAACCCTTGGATCACCTTCACTTTGATAAGTAGCACTGCTTTGTGTTAAAGGAAAAGACTGGCACAGACTATTGTCAATAGTTACTTTGATGTGTACTGTGGGATCACTTTAAAGCAGCTTTATTGGTTATTATAGTGTATAAAGGTAGAAAAACTGAAAACAGAAATAATATTTTTATTACTTTAAGTTTGCAATCCTAATCACACTTCCTAGGAAGTAAAATGCCCTTGCAGTCAGATTTTTAAAATATTTTAATATTATGTTTACTGCTCATTCAACTTGTATTTCCTAGCAGTATTGCAGAGTCTATTGGGTGCTATATGTTATAAAATACTGGATGAAAATGGACAACCACTGACGAAGTTGTAGCTGGACAAAGTGTGCTTGTAATCACTTGATAAATTGGTTGTCTAGAACCAAGTCTCCAGCATGGAGCCACTGGGCACCAATGTGCCCAGACAAAATCTCTGCCCCTCTTGATTTTTATTTCTTAAGAATTTTTTAAAATTGTGTGTGTGTAATAATTATATATATAATTATTTCTATATAAAATTAGAGATCTAGATAGATATATTGACTGGAAGGTTGGCATTCTATAAACCAATAAGCTGTCTTTCAGTGCCATCTTTGAGTTTAAAAGAGTGCTTCCATGTTTTGGAGGTCATACACCTACTCTGCCTCATACTTAGGTTTTCAAGCAGGTAACTTTTCTTTGAGTCCCACCAATTAGATTTTATGATGGTTTCTGTAACCACCCATATTCTTTTATGAATGGGTAAATCCATCGTGGTAGTCATTTTGTTAGAATGCTTCAACTCTCTCAAAATTCCAAATGTGGCAACCAGCTCAGAAAGATTCAGGATCCCTGGTTTATAACATCCTGACAAGAAGAACTGGCATAATAAGTATTATATGATATAATTTGGACTGAACTTGGGGGTGTGCAGAGAGTTGTGGGTTGTAGTGGGGGAAGAAATCCATTTCACAAATGACTTCTATTCTGCTAGTGGATGACCAGAGGTGTCTCCAATCCACAGTTGTGTTATAATACACATACATTGTTGTGAGATGTTATAAAGTGTTGCAGTGAGTATATCTTTTAAAAATGTAATTTATAAACCAGAAAAACTGAAGTACTGTATCTTAAAATCAACTGATAACACTAATTGATAAAAAATAAAACTTACAAAATGTGGACAACTATATCTGGCTGGCTCATTATAGGAATGGCATCACTGACCAGCATGCTTTAAAATTTGGGAATTCATAGAAAGTACAAATGTGGCAAGGGATGATATCATTACCTGACAGTAGCTTGTACCGTTCACTCATTGCAGGAGCAGTTTTACAAAAACTTCCCCCAATTTTTTAATAAAAGAAAATAGAACTCCTGGTATGAAACTCAGCACAGTCTGGGACACCTTTAAATCTGTTGCTGGAGGGTGATTTATAGGTGCCACCTCACTCATTATAAGACAGATTGAGTCAACCATGAAAAGCTTTCTACAGGATATTAAATATCTAGAAGTTACGCATACGTGTACTGGGTCTAAAAGTTTACACTAGAATTCTTGCAACCAGAAATAAACATTGCTGTATGAAAATGAGCAAAACTCAGCAGGTCTAAATAAGCAAAATATATGCTATGAATGTTACAGTAGCCTGGGAAATACCTGCTTTAGCAACTGTTCAAAACAGTACATTTGGTGAGGAGATAAGAACAAAAAAAGCCAAGCTTCATCATCCTAATGGTCCATCAATCCAGCATTCTGTTCACAAGTACCTAAAAAATTTCCTGTTGGAAGACATGAGTGCAACAGTACTATCCTGCTCATCTTGCCCAATAACTGGTACATGCAGTCATACCGCCTCTGACACTTGAGGTACTATTCAGCCATCATGACTAGCACCATCTGATGGCTTTATTCTCCATGCATTTGTTCAGTCCCATTTTAAGCCATCCAAACTGATGTCTTTAAAAAGCTCAACTGCTGGTCAGCAGCAAATTCCATAGTTCAGATATGCACGCTGTGAAGTACTTCCACATGACCTGAATCTCCCGCAGATTTATTTATTTTATTTTTTATTTATTAAAACATTTTTATGCCGCCCCATTCGCCGAAGCCTCGGGGCGGCTTACAACAAATAAGTTAAATAACATTTTAAAATATATACATTAAAATAAATTACAAATATACAATATACAATAAGCCGCCCTGGATGATCCCAGGTTCTAGTATTATGAGAGATGGTAAAAAAATATCTCCCTATTAACTTTCTCAACATCACACATTATTTTGTAAACCTTCAGTAAGTGCCCGTATTCACTTTTTTCCTAAGCTAAATAGTCTCAGATGCTGTAACCTTTCTCCTTACGGGAGTTGCTTCAGCTTCTTGACCATTTTAATTGCCCTTTTCTGAACATCTTTCAACTCTTTTTTAGTTGCATGACTAGGACTGTGCACACTATTCTAAGTGTGGTGGCACAATAGATATGTAAAGGGCAGTATGTTAATAGCAGTTTTATTTTCAAGTCATTTACTAATTAGGTCTAATATAGTAATTGTCTTATTTCATATATGTGTCAACAGTTTCGCCAAGCTGTCCATCACAACTTCAAGAGCTCTTCCTTGGCCAACCACCACTAGCTCAGATCCCATTGTCATATATGTGAAGTTGGGCTTTTTGCCCGAACATGCATCACTGTACACTTGATTACGCTGAACTGCCTTACCATTTTGATGCCCATCCTCTCTATCTAAATCAAAGGACCAGCTATAACCATCTTTGTCAAACAAGCTGATCTGAGAACATATACATCTAAGTAAGTGTAGGACAGATATTTCTAAGTCCATGTCTGTCTAACTAAGTCTCCCTTAGCTATTCTAGAAATAATACCTATGGAACCTAAAGAGGTGGAGGACATTGTTAAAATGGTAAAAATGTAACTGTTCAGTATTTATTATAACAGAACCTAGTCATTAAAGGGTAGGTTAGATCCCTCCAAATTTCATAAAGGCATTCAGCAGAACTTAATTCCAGAGTTCACAAAGCATTATCATGGTATTATTTACATGGGAGTGAAACTTCGTCGTGCAGGCTGGGCAGTTGCATCTGCTCTGCCCCAACTTATAGCAAGAACCTACTGCCTTGAAGGTGATCCAGGGCCAAAATCCATGTCCAGAAAAATCATTTAGTAGTAGTTTACAAGTTATTCTCCCACTGAGATTCTCCAGATCTATAAGCTTAGAGGGCCCAAGGCTGATATCAGTGACACCAGCCTCTCACCACTTAAGCTCTCCCCTCAACATTGGGTCATACTCTAACCAGGAAGAAGTTCTCAAACTTCAGTGGGAGCTTCCATTCCAGGGCTAATACAAGTCTCTAAGTCTGTAATAAAAGATGAAATCTGCAACAATACATAAAACCTAAAAATAACCATACTTTTGTTCTGAAAAATCATCTGGCAATACCTGGTAACATTTTATGCAAAGTTAAATTTTGCTTTACAAGACAGGAAAAGAAAACAAAGAAGTCAACAATGGAGTATATGTGTAGGATACTGTAGGGGAAAATTCCAGGTGCCTTTTCCATCCACCCCTTCCAAATCTAACAATACCAGCAGTTTATTCCTAACTGGACATTTCCACATGAGCCAGAAGATGTTGAAGTATTGCTGCTGTAAAGAAGAATCACTATTTAGGGCTAGCCATGGCAATTACTACTGAGTGGCAGTCTTTTTTCTTCTCTTATATTCCCACTTACTGCAATTCAAAAGGCATAATTCTAAAAGCTTGGACCACCTTTGGATCTAACCATCTCCTCCTTTAATAGCCCCCAAATAAGAAGCAAAGGTTGCATTTGCACAACAGTGGGCCATTCACTTGTTGGAGCAAGTGTCCTTAAGCAGCAATACTAGGAAAAAGAGCCAGCTGGGTTGGTGGCTGAGTGCCAGATGATGATGGGGAGATTAGGGTCAAATCCACACTCAGCCAGGAAGTCTATTGGTAACTGTGGGTCAGTTATTATCTCACAAAGGGGGTTTCTGCTGGCACAGTGGAACTTCGCATCCTTTCCGTCCCTTCTGCAACTCCCCCACACATGCCAGATCTGCTCTGAATGGTCTCTCTCACGAGACATGGAAGGGGAAATCCATTCTGCTAGCAGCATCTGTTTTGCTAGTTGATGACCAATCTCAGATCCAGCCCAGAATACTGGAGTACGTAGTCCTTTGATACAGCACAGGTGCTTTTGAGTTCAAAAGATTCCCCTTCTTCCATGTACTTCTTTTGAAGTATTAATAAAAGGAAAGTGAAGCAGTTGGTGCCTGTTGCATCAAAAGATCTTTCAGAAGTCAACTACTCTGTAGTATTTACCAGTGCAGGAGTACCTGTTGAATGTAAGACATTAATTCTATAAAGGTGTTTGCCTGTAAATATGTAGGGCAGAAAAGGGGCAGTGGTATGCGACTGACTGGCTAAAATGGATTTTAGAAACATGTTCCGCAAACACTCTTGAAATGTATTAGGCCTCATAGAGATGGGAAGGGCAAGGAGTATTTGTAAAGCAATGACTGAACTGTTGCCAAGGGGAAGTTACTATGTGCAAAGTCATCAGATATAGCACAAGATACTGACTTGTTTGTTTCTAGAAATCCTTGCCCTGTATCAGAACTCACTTCTGCTTTTGTATCTTTCCAACTGACTGTTTATATCCAAATAAAATCCTGTGTTCTGGCTGGGGTGTGGGGGGGGGTGACAACCTTTCTGGGTTTGTGCAGAAGGGTTCTCTCTCTACAGTGCTGCAGATGCCCAATAAAGGTTTAACAAATCTAGGTTGCATCTAATAACATTGGGTGATGAGATTCCCTGATACTTTAAAATAAATATCATTTTGTAAACTGCCCAGAGAGCTATTTGGGCTAATTGGCAGTGTAGAAATTAAATACACCCACAATGTACTTTTTCCCTACATATAAGTAGGTAGTAGACTCTTCTTGGTCCCCTTCAGGTTCCATACAATGCTGAAGCATGGATCATCTTTTAGGCCATTTTGTTCAGTCTGAACTAAATAACTGTTTCCAGTTGCTTTGAGTACATCACTCTTTCCCAAACCGCTGCCCCCCAGCTGTTCTGGACTTTAAATTCGTGGGCAGGAATATTGAGAATTATAGTCCAAAACATCTGGAGAGAGTCAGCTTGGGAGTCAGACTGGAATACATGGTGCAGCATGGCAACACTCGGATTTGAAACTACTAGCCTTTCTTGCAAAACTAGTTTTCTCAAAACAGAGATCAAACAAAGTTCTGAAACAGCTTTGTCATTCTGTCTTCAGAATATTAGATGTTCAATAAACAGGGAGTATTTGAACTGTCAGCACATTCTCAGACAATATGCCCACTCCAGCCAGCTAAAAGAGACTCCACTTGCCCCTGGAGTAGCCCTGTTGACCGGACCATACTGATTCCTTCTTACCCAGAAACAGGAGACCGCATTCTCCCTTTTCTGATGCAGATGACCTTGCTACAGTTATCTATGGGCCAAGTGCTGCCCCTTAGCCACTTATTATTTATTCAGTAGTAAACTCTCCAGGTGGCTACACAATAAGAATCTTCCAGCACCCATCTCTGAGCAGGGAATGAGCCACTACAGTCAGCAGACAAAAGACAAGCAATTTCTCTGAAATCTTCACCTAGGAAAGAGGAGAGAGATCAGTGGAGAAAGGGGAGGGGGCTTTTCTCTTCCAGCTTGGGTGCCAGAAACAAGTTTGCAGGAACTAAGGGAACTTGAAGCTAGCCCAGGAGAGATTGCTCGAGGTTTCTCTGGTATGGCACCCAGGATTTTTTTTAACCCAGCCACCAGGAGAACTTTGCCATTGACACAGTGGCTCTGCAAGGAACTATGCAAGCAGCTTAGAAGCAGGGTTGTGTTAGCTGGACTGTATTTCTGCCCACATGGCCATACATTGAGCTAGCATGCCAAGTCACCCTTGCTAAGGTAGAAAGACACGGGCCTGCAGCTAGATGGAAGAGGAACAAGGGGCTGAACTCAACAGCCATATAGGCCCCTTCCAAGCCTTTATCTATTCTATTCTCCTTTGTTCTTTGCTTTGAACTGCTGATTGATTGTTCACTGAACCTGATCTGCCTCTTTAAACTGCTCACCAGTGTGTGTTCAGAACCTGACCACCATATTTATTTTATTTTATTTATTTATTAAAACATTTTTATGCCGCCCCATTCGCCGAAGCCTCGGGGCGGCTTACAACAAAAAATTAAAATAACATTTTAAAATATATACAATAAAATACAAATATATAATATAAAACATACACTATAAAACAAGCCGCCCTGGCCAAATAAAATTCAATAATATTAACATTTAAAATACTGCTTAAATAAAAAGGTCTTCGCCTGGCGCCGAAAAACAAATAACGAACAAACAAACAAATTCTGTACTTATCCTGAATCTTTAATCCTGTTTTTACCAAAATCTAGACTGTGCTTTTTGAAGGTAAAAGTGGGGAGACTCACAAGAGTTGCACCATGTTTACTGTTCTCACTACACTGTGGCAACAACTAGATTGCATGCCAAATATTGGATGATATGCTCCCCTAAGGATACAACCAGGCTGCAGAGAAGCTCAAGACAGAGAACCCCAGTAGGATCCTTAGTCAGTCATTCCCAAGGGATCAAGTATGCATGGGGATGGAGACTGGGTTTGTTTTACTTTCAGTGGTGGCAGCAGGTACAAGTAAGCCCTGCTGCACCAGACTGTGTGAGCTCAGACGGGGTTGCCTGGAGGCACCAGGTCATCACAACCCTATCTGAAAGTTCTTTCATGATCGCCTCTTTCCAGGCATCCTAATTTATATAATTCAAAGCAGTTCAACCTAATGTGACTCTCTAGACATCTCCATGAGTCATCAGGCCATAGAAACACCGCTTGCAGTTCTGTTTGAAGAGAAAGGGACAAAATAATATTAATCATCACAGACATTTGCAAGTTTGCTTTACGCCCCAAAAGAACAAATATATGCTGAGTTGTCTTATGATCCCATGCAAAACTGCATGAAGCTTAGTAAGATGAATAAATTAAACTGTTTAATAGGAGTATTAAATTCAGACCCCTGAGCAACTGTTTGAGCAAATGACAGGCCTGCCCTCAATGTTTCTTTTGCCGTGTTACTTGACAGGGTTTTTTTCTATTCCCCATTGTTATGAACTCGCTATTCAGCCACTATCTATCAACATGGAAATAATGTCTGTAGTGGTCCCGCTCCTACTTGGCTGACCATGTGCAGAAGGTGGTGGTGGGGGATAGCTGCTCTGTATCATGGCATTTATGGGATTCCACAGGGCTCTATACTATCCCCAGTGCTTTTTAACATCTACATGAAACTGCTGGGCAAGATCATCCAGAGGTTTGGGTTCAAATGTCAGCAATAAATTGACAACATTCAGCTCTACTTCTCCTTTACATCAAATCCAGGTGAAGTGGTATCCATTTTGAACCAGTGCCTGAGCTTGGTAATGGACAGGATGAGGTCCAATAAATTGAAACTCAATCCAGGTAACATTGGACTATTGTAACACTTTCTACAAGGGACTACCTTCAAAGACAGTCTGAAAACTTAACCTGTTTCAAAACAGGACTGCATGTTTGTTGACAAAAGCTAGTCTGTGCACCCATATATCTTATACCATCTGCACTGGCTACCAGTTGAGGTTTAAACCCAATTTAAAGTGCTTTGACATATAAAACCCTAAACAGCTTGCTTTCTCCTATAAGTACCTACCTGATCCTCAGGATCTGAATCAGAGGCCCTTCTTAAAGAACCATCTCCCAAAGAGGCGAGTGGGATGGCAAATAGAAAGATGGCCCTTTTGGTGTTTGTGCCTCAACTCTGGAATAGGCTCCCCAAAGAAGTCCACCTGGTACCTTCGTTACTAGCATGTTGGCACTGGGCACAGACTGTTCTAATAATTGATTTATATTGTTTTTTTATATATTTGTGAATTTTAAACTGATGTTTTAACCTGCTATACCTTTTTCATATTGTTGTAGTGTAGTATTTTATGGAGCTATTTAATTTATTGGTTTTAATGGAAATGTACACCACCTAGAGAGCCCTAACAGAGCTGTTTATAAATTTAATAAATTAATCAATAAATAAAGTTTTCACCAAGGGAGCTTGCCATAGGCTCTGTATAACACCTTTCTAACTCTTTGCATAAGTTTGGAGTTGAACTCCATTTTGGGAGATGATTACTTGTGGTTAACAGTTTTCTTGAAATCCAAGTAAGAGGAATGTTTGATTGCATGAATAAAGCCCAGCATTCTGAAAATATTCACTGCCATGCAATATCAGGTATAAACCCTGCTGATCCAGATTTATTGACAATGCACTTAAATGATGGAAAGAACAAAATCTTCTGGATTCTTATTAAACAGAGAGGTGGGTTGCAATCAAACCTTGTTCCATTTAGAAGCACAATTTGAACTTTCTCCCAACAACCTTAGCCCCTTTCATTAAGTTATTGTTGTGATAGTAGTGGTAATGGTATGTTTATTGTTTTGTGCTGTTTAATTTCTTTTAAACCACCCAGAGCCTATGGGAATGGGGCAGTGTATTAATATTAAAATATATTTGTTAAAAATAATGAAAAGATCATGTCACCAACAAATACCAAACCACAGAGCTAAAGAAAACAGAACTAGTTCAAATGCATTATCTACTAGGTGGATATTATGGAAATAAGTTGAATATAAGCTCAATATCTGAGACTGTAAAAAATGTTTACTGCTTACATGGTCCAGAGTTAAGGCCAGCACTTTAACTTAGTTTCCTGGCGTTATTTTGATGCCTCAACGTACAATTCTAGGCAAGGTTTTACGAAGAAGAAGAAGAGGCCTACAACTCCCAGAATGCACCTAGCTAAAGCATGCTGGGAGTTGTAGGCCTTTTAAACTTTCCTAGGTTTATGACTATAGTGTATTTGTAAATGAATTAGATAGGGTTCCTACGCCTTTAACGCCTTACTTTTCTCTTAGGTGTTAAAGGCATAGGAAAGAAAATAAAAAGTTTGTAATGTCACGGCGTGGCTACAACGTTTAGAATCAAGAATGCAGATAATGCCTTGGGACAAAATCCTAAATTTAAAGTGCGTGGCTTCTGCGCCAACACCGATGTAGAAATAGTCATGAATTAATTTAAATCTCTGCGACTGTCAGAATTAACCCCATCCGTCATGTAATCATCTCAGCTTATCCTCTTCTAAAATGATACAAGTGATGATGACAATGTAAGCCACGAAGCAAGCAGCAATCCCTGGTTCTTCACCAGACCTCCTAGCTAAATGCACGTATTCCACCTATCGGGATTGGGCGTAGAGTGCTCTCGGGACCGACCCTGTCAAGGGTTAACAGGGATGTTTTGCAATGTATGACGGGAGTTGTAGGCCCCAGCGAATGCCAAGAGCGCAAACCAGACGATCACATGCTCTTCCTCTTTCTTCTTGTGATGGCCGCTTCCAGGAAGGTAATTCCCGTTTGCGCTATTACCATGATCCAAGGTAGCAGTGGGTGCAGGACTCATCTTCAGGGCGCCCCGTAGAGTCAGTTGATGACTGGAGGTTAGCCCTCCTCTATTTAGAGGAAAAGCGTAGAGATTTGAGCCCAGCTGTTGCCAGGGAAGTTGGTTTCCTCTTTGGTGTGCCTTAAGTTACTGCCTCGCGTGACTCTAAGCACCTGATCAGAGCTTTTTTACAACTCCGCCATAATCTGCCTTGTCGCCTCAGCCTGGCATTAGATTGATCTGACAAAGACTAAGCTATCTTGCACAAATGAGCGAGCTTTGGCTTCTTTTCTGCTCTCTTTAGTAGGTGTTCCGGAGGACTGCATGGTTTCCAGGAGTGCAGCGCTAGCTAATCAAGGAAATACTCCCTAATATAGATTGCCACTGGTAAGATCCTGGTAGGGTTCGGAGATGGACATTGATGGGATGGTTTTTTGTTTTGTTATAATCTAAGGGGATCATTTGCTTTTTACACAGGAGAGTAAAAGTGAGAGTAAAAGTGGAACTATCTAAGCCACCTTGGGTTCCTCACAAAAAGAAAAAAAATGGAATATAATAATAATAACAGCAACTTCAGAGAAGGGCTTTGGAAGAAATTCTAGTCAGCAGGAAGGGGAGAGTACTAGCACCAGCTAATTATAATGTATTTTGGTGGTACCTCAACCTCCTTCCCTCCATCTCTGAGGTACCACACTTCACCAAAAGCAGTGTACAACACTCGGCATCCACCACCGAAAAATCTTCTTAACCATTTTATTTATTTATGATATTCTGTCCACCTTTCTTCTTACAAGGAACCCAAGGGTATTCTTATTTTAGTGAGAATGTAATGTAATGTTGCATCCTGGTTCATACCAGCTTAGTTAGGAATCCTATTTCAAACTCACTGACCCCCTTCAGCCATAATCTTTGGCGATGGGCCTGCATGTTCCCTTTTTTTTCCTACTTGTATTCCTTCATGTGCCCAGCTTTGGCATGAATAGTTTGGCTTGTGTAAACCACAGTTTCCTGTTCATCCATACTGGGAAATTATGCTTAAACCTGGTACTGTTTTCATATCCTGGTTAGTAAAATGGGATTAAACCATTGTTTTTCAGTTTGGAAACTGTAAATTTGAGTAAGCCATAATATAATCTCCAAAGCCAAGCATTATTATTATTATTATTATAACATTTCTATGCCACCCCTTGCCGAAGCCTTGGTGCGGCTTACAACACAATAAAATACCTCGAAATACAATAGCACATAATAAATTACCATTAAATACAAAAATACAAAAAATACATTGAGTTACAAACATAATAATATAAAATTACAGTATAAAATAAGTAAATAAATAATATAGGAGGAGAAAAGAGAAGGAAGAAGAAGTTGCCCTGGCCAGATCATATATTTTAACAATTAAAATGATGTTTAAATAAAAAGGTCTTTACCTGGCGCCGAAAAACCAGTAACGACGGTGCCAGGCGGACCTCTTTGGGGAGTGAATTCCATAGGTTGGGCGCCACCGCAGAGAAAACCCTCCTCCGAGTACTTACTCTCCTAATTTCTTTCATGGAGGGTTCCCGGAGAAGGGACTCTCCCGCAGATCTCAAAGGGCGGTCGGGCATATACAGACGTAAGCGCTCGTTCAGGTAGCCCAGACCCAAGCCGTTTAGGGCTTTATAGGTCATAATCAACACCTTGAATTGGGCCTGGGCTGGGGTGGAAGGGGTGGGGAGAAAGTGTGCAGGCACATGGCTTGTTCTTAAGCTAATCCACCGAAATGCTCTCTTAGTAAGCAATAATTCCCATAACACTGTAACAATAACAATACTGATGTAATAAACAGTGAAAGGTCCCTAATTCTGTCTATATCTCACAGACTCCATTCACTACGTTCTCTTAACTGAATAATCCCCTCTATTTCTGATGTTTAGGTAGGAGTACTGCTGTTTATGTAACCAAAACAGCACCAGCCACACATGAGTATTAGCAGGCTTGGTGAGGCCCCATGGTTTGCAGATGTATGAAAAGTCTAGTGGAAACAAGCCCTTTGTGTGGAGGAGAGGTTCTTCCAAATACAGTTGACCATGCTCTATCCTCATTCATGAAATGTTGTCTGCAGAGTGGGGAAACTAGAAAATTGGACAGGAAAATGGAATCTTGGAGGAGAGCTGGCTGATTGGAACAGTGAACAGGAATATTCCATACTGCAATACTTTATTAAAGATTCCAGTTGTCCCTTTCTAATGAATTGGCATGTTCTTGTCCATCCCAGGCAGGTACTTCCTAATATTTCAATTAGGCTTGAAATGGCACTGTGGTGTGCACAGTGTGAAAGGAATATGCTTAATTTAATTGTTTAATATTTAATAGTTTAATAGTATTCCAGTTATATCTACTGTGAAGTTTGTCAAAGTCTCTCTCCTTATATTCTTCTGCTTTTGTGTACTTTAGAGACACTCGAAGTGCCCAATCTTCTCAGTAGTCAGCCTGTCATTCAGGATCAGCAATGATTGGGAGTACAGCTGCTACCAGGAATGCTTCACAGCTCTTTTTGGTGCTTTTCTCACTACTAATGGGGCTGCCTGTTGTGGAGGCAATGGATACAGGCGATGCCTTGGCCCTCTTGCTGGGTGCAGTGCTCAGTTGCATTGGATTCTGTGCCTGTTTGGGCCTATATGCAAGAAAACGAAATGGAGAGCTATGACTTCAAAGAAAAAATGTCCAAATCAAGCACAACTGCCTTGTTGGATGGCACTGTGGTTTCGATGTGAGTTGTCAAATCCTTGTTGCTGGGCTCTACTAGGGGTTGTACCTGATTTTGGAATGCTGCAGCCTGATGTTCACAGGAAGATCACCATTTCCTATTTCTTACGATTAAGATGTTGCCTTAAGAGGGCAACCATGGTGATCTTTTTGGGTGAGGGGAAAACAGGTGATCTAAGTTAAGGTGGGTGCACAGAAATCATTGCAACTATATATACCTTCTTAGGAATATACAGATCCTCCTAATTAATTGATTTAGGGGCTCCATTACTTAGCTTTCTCTGATGAAACTTCCCTCTTTGATTTCCATCAAATTAAGCCAAAGTGTTTTGCAATCAGATCAAACTGATGTTTATCCTCCAAACTCTGTCATTCATTTGCCTTGGGACCTTCTTTCTGTAATTAATTTTTAAGAGCTTGAATCATAATTCTCTTAAGTACTGGGTAAATGATCAGGAACATGTGGCCCTCCAGCAGTTGTTGGCCTACTGTTCACATCAGGCCTTGTAAGCAAAGCCAGTGGTGAAGGATGCTGTAAGTTACAACCCAGCAATACTTGGTGGCCTCATGTTCCTTATCCCTGATTTAATGTGTACAATCCATTGGGTAAATGTCTTATCCAAACTTTGCTGAAATACATAGGAAGCACACACAAGTATGCTTTATATACTTCTAGTTTATTTCACTAGAGCTTACATGGGTAATCCTGATGGATTTGGCACCAAGACTTCTCAGTTACTACTTGAAAGTGTTTCTGGAGAAGATTTTTAAATGATCAGTTATTTTCTATAATTATCTCTTGTACTGTCTGCAGTGTTTTTAACAAAATAGTCCTTGGTGGTATTTCAGAAGTATTAAATGAGATGATGGGTCACCAAGAACCCAACCCTGACGGTTGTCCCTTGGTCTTCCAATGTAACTTAGTCAATAAACTTTCTAGTTACAGGGTTTAAATTGTAGCAGCTAAGCTCTCTTGATATCCTCTGAGCTTACATACTTAATTTTCCATAGCCTGCAGTCCTAGCTCATAAAAGATCTGCCCAAATTCATGAAACCCATGCTAAAAAGGAGGAAATAACAGCACAAAGGAACAAAATGGGTGACTTAGAAATGTAGGAATATTGGAATGCACTCACTTAGTCAGATTCTAGAGTGCATTGTTTGTGAATGCTTTTTTGAGGAACAAGCTATGCATTCTAAAGGAAGATCATTTAATTTCTTTATTTAGTTTATTTTTAGTGTGCCTTTCAAAGCACACTGCCATCACAAGGCATCTTAAAACATTACAGAAATATAAACATCCGGGTTATGATTTAACACACCAAGAGCTTCACTAGCTAATAATATTTAAGTACCAGAGGTAGACTTTGTCTTAAGAGGTTTTTCTAAATGACGGAATGATAAGGCCATTCATCTCTCTCTAAAAAGGGGGCTCCAAACTTATGGGGCCAGCCCTAAGAATGCCCTGACCTTATTTTACCTCTTGTCCTTGGTCCTAAGAACAAATGTTTATGCTTACGGTAAAATTGCATGAAACAGCATTCTTTTGTAAAGGTAAGCCCTGCCTAGAAGAGCTCCACAGTCATATCAACATATTGGAGCAGAATGGCTTAAGGGGAAACAGAGCAACAGACTGATAATAGTTAAACTGTGGGATCTCTCTAAGTGAATTTCTCTAGAGAAGGGAACAGGGTATCCCTGAACCTGAGCTCCCTCACCTGTGGCATAGGAAGTGTTCCTAATCCTGAAATCATAGCTTTAAAATCAACCCGGTACATGCAGAATGATTTCAAGAACTTTTCTACTGGTGATTTTTCCATGCTGTGGCTCAATACAGCATCAGTATTAGACACAGGGGGTTTTTTTCATTTTTTTTCCAGAAAGAAATGTTAGTAAAGGTTTTTCACCATTTCACATTTTACTGCTACCACTCCAACATTTATCACCATGCGAGTTTAATTTCAGTTGCTTCTTAAAATGGTCCCTCAATACTAGTATTGCTTCATATGAATGTTTCTTTGTACTTGACTACATACCCAATTACAAAGTATATGTACATTGTGTCACATAATTGTACACTTAAGTGGGTGGATATGGTAGGTTTGGAGATATTTTATTGTGTAACAGGTGAGCCTTTGGTGACTAGTAAAGGCTTAATCCTCATCCTTAGATATACTGTAAAGGCTGAGCATCAAAAAATAAGCATATATTTCACATCTAGTGTGATACATGTGGCAAAGGTCATTTAAAGAAATCTGTTTGGCTTTTAAAAAAGGAATAATTCCTCATATAATAATTTACTTTCAGTATTATTTGAAGAAAGGATACTTTGGAAATTTCTGCATAATCTCTAAAGCTAAGAAGGGAGATGTCTTTGTTCAAAGCATAGGATAAAATATGAAGCCAAAGAAATATACTTAACTTTCCTCTATATGTGTTGTGTTCCACTTTGTTTATTTATACATGCAATGTACTTGAACTCTTGTAAAATGCTGCCCGTGGTTGGGACAGGTACTTGAACTTAACCCAGTGTTTACCAGACTGTGTATACCTTGGTTTGGTGATTTCTGGAGTGGGTGGAAGAGGAAATATCTAATATGGATATTGGTATTTTCACAGAGCAGCATACTATCTTTGGCTCTTGAGAGTAATGGAACAAAATCTTAGCAAGAATGCTAGTCAGCTGATGATTTCTCCTGATTTTCCCCATCTACTTTCATTTTTTAATAAAAAATATTTTTATTCTGTACTGGATTGACTTGGTTGTGATAAAAATGGAACAATTAATTACCAAAGAAAATTACTGAAAATTCATTGATTTCACACTGAAATATTCTCATTTTTAACAGCTCTGCTAAGCTGACTTTGAAGAAGTTTTGCTTTCCCATAAATGATGCTTAGGTTTCTGGATTTCTTAGGATCAGGGCCTGTACCTAATGACAAGACTTCAACTCTCTGAGCAGTGCATATGTAAAATTGCATATAGTAAGGTGCATTGATGCAATATCTAGATTCAGTGTAAGCCTTCCCTGCTGCCAATCACTAAATATATTGTCCTAGCATCAAGACTAGACCCTAGTCATTGAAAAATGGTCTCAGTTAAAAAGTGTTTAAGATTGCATTGAGAAAATGTTCAAATTACAGCACATCTCCAGAGGAGAAAATTTTGTACTTTTGGGGAAACACCTGGAATATCTCTGCACACAACCTTGTCACTTTGTAAAAATGGTATACTTGAGTTCTTGATTGGTATGAAAGTTACATGAAAATAAGTAAGCACAAGGTTCCTATCACTTCTGACCAGACTCCGCTCTCTCCACCTTCCTGATGTGATGCAACTGTGTGCTCTGACGGATAAGCCTCCGGGCCTTATTTTCATGCTCTGCTGCCCCAACATTCTCTCGCTGATCCAAAATGAAGCCCACCAAATCCTTTACATCCCTAACATCCCAGGCCACTTAAGGCTTCACATTGCCAAGACCAGAGCTCAGTCTGAAGACGTGCTCTGTAACAGTGCATATGTTAAATGAACAAAAGGGGGGAAAGCAAGACAAAAGATCTGCTGTTGCCAGAGTGTTCTAAGTTGATTTACTGAAGAATGGAAACCTCTCTATCTTGTGTATGTAACAAGTGTGTACTCTGTGAATTGGCTGGTTGTAAATTTTCTAGAAATCTCTTCACTTTTTGTGTGTAAACCTTTCCTATTGCCTCACAGCTACTAAAATCAGGAGGCTGTCCCTTTTTCATTTAAAACAAAAATGGAATATGTACTTTAGGCTCAAAAATCAAAGAAAGAATGCAAATATGTTTTTCTTAAATACTACTTGAATTACATGTCAAAGGTCTTAGTTCACACATTATATAAATGTACACTTGGCAATCTGCCTTTGTTCAGGCAGAAAGTTCAGAGCCATAGGAGACAGCTGCAGATCCTTGAAGAGTTCAGCCTTTTATAATTTCCCAAATACTAAATCAGGTAACCAACTTGTGGTTCTTCAGATATTCAAGCCTATGTCAATTCTAGCTAGCATAGCCAATGGTGAGGCATGAGGGGAGCGGGACGCCAATTCTAGAGGGGCACAAGTCATTCATCTCTGTTCTAAAAGCGCCAATAGGAGGAAAGTATGTTGAATCAAGAGACTGGGATGTGGGGAGGTGGGACTAATTCTTCCGCTCTGCATATTCCTGTATTGTATTGCTCTTTCCTTCCTCAAAGCCTGCACCAAAGTTGTTTTCCTGTTGGGGTCAGAAAATAGGCTAAATCACAAACTTGGATCTTCTTTCATTTGTCCCTGACTTAATAGCTCAGGAGATTTATTATGATTATAGTGAGCCAGGAAATTAATTTTCCAGCTTTAATATCCAATACAAAATAAATAGCAAATTTGTTTAAGAGATGTTACTATCCTTCACATGTCAATAGAAATACTACTAAACTCAAGCACAGGTGTGGAAGAAAGTCCATGTCCAGATGTTTCCATTTCAGCTCCCAACATTCCTGATCACTGGCCATGGTGGAAAGAGTTTCTGGGAACTTAAATCTCAAAGTCTAGAAATTTACCTTATGCCCAGCCCTGATCAAGTTGTTGGCCACCTTGGTGGCTTTAAATGCATTTAGCATACCAGTAAGGTTATGGTTACTTCATTAAGTATCAAAAACAAATTTTGAAAGTGTTCTGACCAGGTATTCTTGTAGAATTTCAGAAGGTCCCAGGTTCTCCAAAATGGCATGTGGTTCTTTGGCCAAAGATGTTTCCTCCATCCATACCATGGTTTAAACACTTACTGAAAATTCCAGAAATGCATTTAATGTGTGGGCAGATCATATTCTTCAAATAAGCATAAATGGGGATTTCCCCCACTCTCTGCTTGGGAGCTAACAAAATCAAGCTCTGGCTTGAAACAAATGGAAATTATTAGTTAAGTAGCGTAAGAAACCAGTGACCAGAAATCGAATGTCTCAATCCTAGAACTATAGGTATTACTAAACAAAAGCTATATGCTTTTTTCTGAATATAATAGCTTACTGTACTTTACGATCTTCCCTTCTACCCTTCCCAGCAACATCTCTTGAAAACTGAGTAGATACGACTTGTTCCAGCATGTTAGCCATAGGGCCCTAGTTAGTGTCTGTCATTCAGTGGATTAAGTCTTAGCATCCAACTCAGATGTTATGTTACCACATTTTGTTTTCTGCAACAGCTTCTACTTGAAGAAAGGAAATGCTCAACTCAACATTCATGAGTAACAAATACAGACAGACCCTCTGAATAATGGAAATGTGGCCATGGTTTTCTCTGAAAGTGACTAGTAAAGACAAGCATTGCTTAAAGCAGAGCAAGCATCATTCACATTGACTTGAATCTAAAATGTACACCTGACATCTTTGTTGCAAGATGTACTTGGAGCTCATTATCTTGTGTCAGCCCTAAGGCCAAAATCATACCTTGTAACTCACCTTCTAATTTTGGTATCTCAAAGATGATTCACTGGTGCTTTATGGAAATGGAAGTTAACTTGATAGAACATGGAGATAAGGAACCTGAGTGCTCTTACTGTACTGTAAACAGCACATATAGTGATTCACTCAGAATGCTCATTTGCAATACATATAGACCAGAAAGTTTCAGAAAGATGGATTTTAACTTAAAGCAGGGGTGTTGAACCTCTTTCAGCCTGAGGTCCAAACTCAAGTTCCCAAGGACTGGATTCCAGTGATGGGCATGCCCAAAGATAAGCATGGAAGAGCCCCAAATTCCAAAGTGTGAAGCCAGTTTTAGCTAAATCTTCTTACTGCCTGTGTGGTGTAGTAGTTTGAATTCTGGACTAGGGGACCTGAGAGATTCAGGTTCTAGGCTTCATAGCTGAAGCTCACTGGGTGAATTTGGATCATTCACTCATTTCTAGCGCAACCTACCTCACAGGATTGCTGTTGTGAGGATAAAATGGACTAAGTAAGCCTCCTTGGTAGGAGAAAAAAGGTGGGATATAAATGCAATGTGATGATATGATGATAACCTCAGTCTTATTATTACATCTATTATTTATTATTATTACATCTATAGTTATTACATCTATTATAATGTAATTATTATAACATTCCTCCTTCTGTAAAGAGGCCAAGACAATTCAAACAGCAGCCCTTTCCATTTTCTCTTCATAACTATAACCCCGTGAGGTAGGTTACTCTGAGAATCTGACTGGTCCAAACTTACCCACTCAGTGTAACAGCTGAGTAAGGACAACAGTCCCTATTCCCAGGGCCATCTTAATGCAAGGGCCTGATGGGCACTTGCCTGTGGGCCCCATACTAAATCTGTTTATGTTAACCCTTGGAAAATTGGAAAACTTCCAAAGTTAACAGTAGTTGTAGTTGTCGTAGGGGCCCCAGTACATTGCTTTGCCTGGGGCCCATAATGCTGTTAAGACGGCCCTGCCTATTCCCAGAGTTCTAGTTCAGTACCTTTAAACACTACAACACACGGCCTCTTATGAGAGGCATTCTAACATTTTAGAATTAAAAAAACCTCAGAAAAGCTGGGAAAGCCTCCATCGAGGAAAAGGTATGCAATGGAGGCAGAGATGTAACGGTTCTTCACTCCTCCTGAATTGAATAAACTTGAACATAGGCATACACCAGCATTCAATTGCATCTGTTGGGAGTTTTCTTCCATACATGCTCAAGCCATTTTCATGCCTCTTTCATTGCTCTCAGATCTAGTATATGTCATAGAGCATTACAAATCAGAACAGCCTGCTCAGGTGCAGCTATGTCATCTGCCCACATCAGTTCTGCATTCCATAGATCAACCAGGCCTTTGACAGGAGAGTCAGCCATAATATCTGGACACGCCCACCCCTGAGAGTCCTCTAAAAACTTTTGGCAATGCATCATCTTATTAGGTGCCACACTACCGCAGAGGAGGAAAGCTGCCATAAGTCTTAACAGCTGCCATCTGTTCCAGCATTTCTTTGGCCTGTCAACTGCAGATGCCCCCACTAGTTGGATCTAAAATATGTTGAAAGAGTAAGATACTCTTTGGGTACCAGGCAATCTCACAGTCATCCATAAGAGCTGAAGTTTGTAGTATACTATAAGGAACTAAAGGTATTTACTGCAAATCCAAATAATACACCAAAAGCTCAATGGTAATGTCCTGTATGTGTGGCATAGCCTTCACCTTGTTCAAGTTTGTGGCATAGGACGCTGTTAAGGCCATGGATCCCTCCCCATCAGAGTGATGACTCTTTCCTGAGAAAGACAAAAATGTTGAATGGGGGCACATGGAACATATTTCCAGAAGTGTCTCGCAGAAGTTCCTGTCCTGTCCCTGAAATTGTCACATTTCTTGACAAGTTTGTAAAACTGCTGTGTGATAGAACCAGTGCATTTTGCAACATTAAAAAGGCAAAACAGCATCTGTTTCCAAGAAAGTTTCAATCTCTATAGAATATTCCACTAATACAGATGGTTCTTAAACAACAGGAAAGGCACTCAATCTGTAAGAGAAGAGATTATATAAGAAGAGGTATTTAAAAGAGATCCAAAGTTAACAAGTCCAGGAGATGGCTTTTGTGGGGAAAAGGAAGACCTCACTGGCAACCAAAGTGGAAAAGTCTTGGTTGAGCTCAGCAAAATGCTATGAACTAATAAGCTACACCTGTAAGTGGGAAGAAGTGCCTCTGCAAGTCTACAGTCCTGCTTTTAACTGCAGTGCTGGTTGCCATTGTGAAATAAACTGTTTCCAG